TCATATTTGTCATCATTTTTCACTGCCACTTTTGTTTCTCTGCAGAGGAGGTATTTTCAGATACGCAGCCTCTGATTCGGTCTGTTCTCGATGGTTACAATGTCTGTATATTTGCTTATGGCCAAACGGGATCAGGGAAAACTTTTACAATGGTAAAATATGTGCATAGATGTTTCATCATATAATCTTCATTCTTTGGCCAACCGACTCCTGACAAGTTATAAATTCATGTTGTTTGCCGATGTAGACTGGACCAAAGGAGATTACAGAGGAAAGTCGAGGTGTAAATTACAGAGCACTCAGTGATTTATTTTTTCTATCAGAACAGAGAAAGGACACCATTTGTTACGAAATTTCTGTTCAGATGCTTGAAATTTACAATGAGCAAGTCAAGGATCTCCTTGCGGTGGAGGGTTCTAGCAAACGATATCCTCCATGAGTCCTGACACTAATTGATTTTTCCTTTACTATTGTTTTCTTTACAATGCATATCATATTTCTCTATGTCCTTAACTCCAACATACATTAGAAATCCGCAACAGCTCTCAAAACGGAATTAATGTACCTGAGGCGAACCTTGTTCCTGTATCATCGACTTCCGATGTTATATATTTGATGAACCTTGGGCATAAGAATCGTTCAGTGAGTGCCACAGCCATGAATGACCGGAGTAGTAGGTCGCACAGGTAAAATTAATAATGTCCTCTTAGATAAATTTTGAGTTGATCCCTTCTCGTTTCACTGTACGAGTAGAGTTCTGAAGTGACCATGAATCCGTCTAAACTAACTCCTGTGACATCATAAACAGTTGCTTGACAGTACATATTCACGGAAAAGACCTGACGTCAGGAAGTATTCTTCGGGGTTGTATGCATCTAGTTGACTTGGCAGGAAGTGAGAGAGTTGACAAATCTGAGGTGACGGGAGACAGGTTAAAGGAGGCACAACATATTAACAAATCTCTCTCAGCTTTAGGAGATGTCATTGCCTCTCTTGCTCAAAAGAACGCACACGTTCCTTACAGAAACAGTAAACTTACACAGCTACTCCAAGACTCACTCGGTAAGATTGTTTAATAAACTTGAGCACACACAGACATTTTTCTGATTTTTTGTTGGTCTCCGTTGTAATCATTTGATCCGTCCTTATTGTGTCAGGAGGGCAAGCAAAGACGCTCATGTTTGTTCATATCAGCCCTGAGCCTGACGCTCTCGGAGAAACACTTAGTACACTCAAATTCGCAGAAAGAGTTTCTACAGTTGAACTTGGTGCTGCTCGAGTTAACAAAGACGGTGCAGATGTAAAAGAACTCAAAGAACAGGTGGTTAATCTATGGCTTCTACAATTATATCCAATTATAATGTACAATAACCTCTTGTTTACCAATTTTTCTTACTGTCTTATCCAGATTGCTACACTTAAGGCAGCCTTAGCAAGGAAGGAAAGCGAGGGAGCGCAAGCGCAACTTAAATATTCTCAATCCATGAGCCCAGAAAGATCTAGAATCAAGTCTGCTGGGTCTTCCCCTTTGCATTCTAATCGGAAAAGCACTGGAGATTTGGCCGGCGCTCGCAGGCAAACAGCAGATGATTTTGGAAACATAGAGGTATTGGCTAAGTATTAAATTGATAAGCCAAAAACTTTATTTTATTCTTTTTATTTGATGAATCTAACACTGGAGGTTCATCTAATTGCACTAGGTTCGCAAAAACACTGCATTGAAGCCAAAAAGGCGAAGTTTAGATCCTCAAGACATGATGATGCATGCGAGTTCGCCTCCCTGGCCACCTGCTTGTAATCAAGGACTAAATTCAAAGGAGGAATCCGATAAGGATTCAGTACTTTCTGGAGATTGGGTTGATAAGGTCATGGTGAACAAACACGAAGCTGCAAATAGAGAAGATAATCTATTAGGAAGTTGGGATATGGACAATAGACAGTTGCCGGAGATGTTTGGACCGAGTAGCCTTCCTGACCCTCCGAACTTGTACATGGAACAACACTTTGGAAAATTAACGGCGAGCAAAGAGGACAGCCAAGACTATGATGTACAAAGGAGTCGGAATGAGATGGCCAATACCGATGATTCTGATGATCAGCTTGATGCTGCAACAAGTGATTGTTCAGAGCCAGACATGCTTTGGCAACAAAACCTTCCGAAACCTACCAGCATTCCAAACGGACTGGGGGAAAAAGCAAAGAAAACTAATTCGAGGCCAATAAGGAGCCCGGAAACTAGGTAAACTCTGACTGCTATGAGATTATATCGTTTTCTTTGAGCTGCATTATCAGCATATTGTTTCCTTTGCAAAATCTCTTATATACCTTGATACGTTCTAATAAGATGTTTCAACTTATCTGCTTTGTCATCAGGAGTATGATTCCATCGTTGATTCCTTTGCCATCACGGAAACCACCCAATGGAGTTAGTCAGCCTCTGCACAGGACCGCAAGTGGAAGGTCCTGTGAAGGGAAGCGAAGGCCTGGGAGTGCAAAGTGATACCGACGACGAGGTTGCTTTTTTTATTGTGTATTGAGGGAAGTTGGCTGTATGATTCTTTTTTTGTTTTTTCGGGGTCATTTTTGTGTGTTCATATGTACCTAGAGAGAGAGAGAGAGAGAGAGAGAGAGAGAGAGAGAGAGAGGTTTTCTGTAAGTGGCAATAATTCTGGTTGCCTGAGTTTCTCCGATGGTGGTCATGAGATGTAAGTTGTCGATCGCACCCCGTTCCATCAGTGTTTTTATGAGTGTTGATATTACAATTTGCCCTCGGGATTGAAGCTAGTGTTTATTTTTCTTTTCGATACAAACGATACTAGGGGAGGAGGAAAACTGAACGTAAATCTTGGATGCATGGTAACCATTCTTAACAATTTGAGCTACAAGCCCTTCGTGCACGGTTAAAGTACTAGTTGAATAACCCCAACAAAAAACCAAGTTAGACTTGTTCCTTTCACAAAGATCTTGAAATATCTAGTTCATGCAAGAATCTCCACGTTTTCAATTAACATAAACAAATGTCGTAATTAAGCAGATTTATAAGAATCATCATTTCATCAGAATTCAGTTCCTACTAATTAATTAACTGCTAAGTACACATTTTATCAAGCTTGACTGGAGAAATACTGGGAACATGAAATTAACTACAGTTTGGCGATGGTTCCGCAGCAACAAAAAATAAAGTTTTATCTCATTAAATGAAGTCGGAATCTTTCTTGCATGCAAGGTGAAAAAGTTCCGTCACGTGTTTTGTGACGGAACAAGGGAGGAGGGTTTATTTTTGGTGAATTGGAGTTGGTGCTTGGCTGCCAAGTTAGGGTTGCTAAACAAGAGATCTCACATAAGAATATTGGTACAATACTCTACGATTTCCAAATTTGGGTTGACTGGAGCTAGGCTCTTACAATTCAAATTACCTCTTAAACAAGAGATCTCAGGTTTGAAACTATACTGTTCACGCAATTGGGTGCTAAATTAAATTATATTGTCATCTAATTAGAAATAAATTAACCCTAAGATATAAACAAATGAAGTAAAAAACAGAAAATTCAAACTCGAGAGCTAAGAGATGAGCACAATGCTTCTGATTAATTGCAGTTGTACTTCTATACTACGTACTAGTACATGGTCCGAAAAGTTAACGATTAAATATTGCATGTAGAGATTTAATAAGTCTTTGCATCAGTTAAATCTTAACCCAATTAATTAATGTAAACTACATTTGATGTTGATTAATACTTGCATTTCCCTCTTGGGGGGGATGAGCTCATTCCATCTTTAGGAATAACGTATTCTGACCATAAATTTCATAATTTGAACTATTCAATTACTTATCTTCATCATTTTAATCGGAGATCATTTAGTTATTTGAATGTATAGAATAACTAGACAGTGTAGGTAGGGGTGCAACTTGGGTTGGGTCAACCGGAATCTGTCCATGTCCAACTTGTTTTCAAATCCAATCGGGCAGATTAGAATGAAGAAAAGACCCACCCAAACCCAACCCGACCTCAACCCGATCATTTATTGGGTTGGGTTGACTTAATGTTTTTGCCCGCCCATGTCAACTCAAACACTATCCAATTTTGAGCTCTAATTCGCTCATACACATATTAGCATCGCACTTCATATTATATAAGTTATGAATCAGTTTTGGAATGACTATACTTCTTTATAGTCCGTCTTCATATGGATGAATGATGGTGTTACTTTTACATTTTTTTTATCGAAGCCTTGTGTACGCCTTGTAATCCAATCTCAAATTTGCATGGGTGAAAACATTAAAAATTGTCTCTAAGTTGTTTGTTTTAACTTTTGTGTGGATGATGATGTGTAAATGAAAATTTAACTAACAATGACGTTGTTTCGTTCAAAATGTGAAAAATCAAGGAAAACAAGGTGTAATAAGATGGGACTTGATAAAGTTGACAAATTCGAATAAATCCAAACCCAATTAAAACACGAACTCGACTAAATCCGCATGAACCCAAACCCAACTCAAACCCGAATTGTAAAGAATGGATTAGGGTTGGGTTGACCATCCAACTCGCCCGAGTTGCACTCCTAAGTGTATGTACCAAATAATATATTTATGATGAACCGTCTTTTTATTTGATACGTTTGAATGATTAAACGATGTTTAATTCAAATGAATTTGTCGACTTGATCTTCCACTAAAAATTAACAAATTGAACAATTCTGACCGTTTATTTTGATCTGAAGAATATACGTGATTCACAAATGGGGGTTTGCAACAAACGTAAATATTACGTCGAAATAAAAAAAAAAAAAACAAAAAGATACGATACGAACGATGCGGCTCCACAAGTCCCCACCAGCCAGTGGATCATGCAGGCAACCACATCCAGCTGCGTTAGTCAAAGGGCCCAACTGTCAACCAAACCCCACTCCATCGGAGGGTACTTCCGTCATTTCACCGCCACCAATTTACAATTCTCCGCCGGAGAATTCGGACATAAATCTCATTCATCACAGTTTTCTCCCCAAAATCCCACCCCTCTCTGTCTCTCTCTCTCTCTCTCTCTGTGCACATCTCCTCTCTCTAAGCTGTCTTCCAATCAAATCACAGAAAAGGTGCGACGCTTTCTCTCTCCTAGGGTTTGTTCTCGAACCAGTGCGAGCTCAATTCCAATGGAGGACTTGTAGATGGGCTTCAATGTCGGATCCTCCCTGCTCGATCATTCTCTGACTGTCAGTGTTTTTGCTCTGCATTCGAAGGTAACCCAATGTTTCCCTCTGATTTTTCCATTTTTTTGCTATTTCTGAATTTCCCCAGTTTTTAATTTTGCAATTTTTATGATTCGTATAGTTCGTGGTTAGCTCAATTTTACTTCTTGAGGATTCAGTAGATTGCTTTACTGGGATCTTTCGATGGATTTCGGGTTCTAAAAGGGACCATTTTTGCATATTTTGTGAAGTCTTTTGTTTGAATTCGCCCTTTACTATTTATGAAAGTTCAAAATTTTTTATTGCTAGGTGTGGTTTTTGTAAATTGCTTTTACTTGATATAATTTTCTCATTTTGTTGGTGTAAAATGGCTTCTGATCGGTTGTTGTTTTGAGGAAAAGGTACTAAATTTATAAAATTATACTGAGCAAGAACAGCTTTTTCTTTTTCCTCTTTCGGTATGAATTCTGTTGGCTTTTGTTTTCCCCTTAGAAATTGCATCTAGCTCTGTTTCGTTTGTAGCTTTCCGGCTTTATGAATTATGGGCATAGAAGCATTGGGTCAGTTTCCGGGGATGGTTTTAGATTCAGTAGGCGTAGCGAAAAGCTTCTAATGTGTATAAATTTAGTGCCATATGCTCCGTTATCTAGTTATCATTTTTAACTTTGATGTGTGAATCCTTTAAGTCATTTGGTGGACCTATGAGGTGATTTAGTTCATTTAGATTTACACGTTTGCAATGAAGATCTGACAGGATTTTGTTTAATCGTTTGGATGAATAGGGTTTTGGCACTTGGGTCTTGGAAATGTCCCAACGGACACTAAAATGAGCCAGATTGAAGTATCGACGATGAAATCTCCTCTCACTCCACTTGCGACTCTGATTGGTCGTGAGCTTAGGGGTGAGAAAGTTGAGAAACCTTATTTGAAGTATGGGCAGGCTGGTTTGGCGAAGAAAGGAGAAGATTACTTTCTTATAAAAACTGATTGCCAAAGAATTCATTCGGATCCGTCAACATCATTTTCTGTCTTTGCGGTACTTTCCCCATCTAATTTCTGTCTTTGTACCTATATAAAGGACAACTGATCTTTGTTTGGCTGCTGAAAACTGAAGAGAAGGAAAAGAATTTGAGAATCATTAAAAGTGAAAAGATTACCTTGAGTGAATTTGATAGTTGCATTTGTGTCCGGTTGAGTGGAACATTGTTCTTCTTAGGTTTGAAACGGTGTGATAAATGAGCAATCACTGTTTAGTAACTTTTCTTCTTTTCATACATTTGTCAGCACCAATAGAGCATCACTTCATTCCCTCACTCTTTCTGATACAAAATTGAAATTATTTGTCCGCAGATTTTTGATGGGCATAATGGTATATCAGCTGCTATTTTTACCAAGGAGAATTTATTGGCTAATGTTTTGAGTGCCATTCCTCAAGGAACTAGTAGGGATGAATGGCTGCAAGCCCTTCCTCGGGCGCTGGTTGCAGGATTTGTCAAAACTGATATAGAATTTCAACAGAAAGGTATAACATCAAGCCATTTGATTTCCAGTAATTATTTATTTGATTTGCTTGATTTTGTTTTGCTTAGCTTTCTGATTTAATTTCAACCTCAGGGGAAACTTCTGGTACAACAGTGACTTTTGTTGTGATTGATGATTGGACTGTGACTGTTGCATCTGTTGGGGATTCTCGATGTATATTAGACACCCAGGGAGGTGTTGTTTCACTCTTAACTGTTGATCACAGGCTGGAAGAAAATGAAGAAGAGAGGGAGCGTGTTACTGCCAGTGGTGGTGAAGTAGGAAGGCTCAATATTTTTGGGGGCAATGAGGTATATCCTAGTTTATTTTGTTCACCCGTTTAACTTGTAAACTGAAAGGCATTTCAATGAATCATTTTTTTTATGGTCTAAATTTCTTATGTTTACATGGTTCAGGTTGGTCCCCTTCGCTGCTGGCCTGGTGGATTATGCCTTTCTAGGTCAATTGGCGACACAGATGTGGGAGAATACATTGTCCCAATACCCCATGTCAAGCAAGTGAAGGTATCTTCATCTTGTACTATTGACAATGGTTCTATTTTACTATGCTTTTACAAAGTTTTAATTCTCAGCAACTATTTTCCCTGGTTATGCAGCTTTCAAATGCTGGGGGAAGACTTATAATAGCTTCTGATGGCATCTGGGATGCTTTGTCTTCGGATATGGCTGCCAAGTCATGTCGAGGATTGCCTGCAGAGCTTGCTGCAAAGCTGGTCGTTAAGGTGATGCACCTTAAATACAAACATTATGTACAGCCCAAGAGAATTAAGCCTGTTTTTACTGATCTAGTCCCAATTTTCTTTGTTCTGTTTTAGGAGGCTCTGAGGTCAAGGGGACTGAAAGATGATACAACCTGCGTAGTTGTTGACATAATCCCTTCTGGCCATCCTGTCTTACCTCCACCACCAATTAAGAAACCAAACATGCTTGCTTCACTTATCTTTGGGAAGAAAAGTCAAAACTCCGTGAACAAGACAAATAAACTTTCTGCTATCGGAGTTGTGGAGGAGTTGTTTGAAGAAGGTTCAGCAATGCTTGATGAAAGGTCAGTTCAGCATGGTTTATTATCTAACTGCTAATTATTAGACTCTATTTCTAGTTTGAAAGCAACCCTAATTTCTTTCCTTTCTTGATGGAAATACAGGTTGGGTAAGGATTCTCCTCTGGATGCAAATTCGGGGATTTTCCGTTGCGCAGTCTGCCAAGTGGATCAGCCCCAAGTTGAAGGTTTATCAGTAAACTCTGCGCCTTTCTTCTCCCCGGCATCAAAGCCGTGGGAAGGCCCCTTCCTCTGCGCAAAGTGTCAGAACAAGAAAGACGCCATGGAAGGAAAAAGACTGACCAGACCCACAGTGGTCTTGTAGTAATTTACCCGATTACGTTCTCTAAGTTGTATTTTTTTATCTGGCAGTGTGAGCATATGCTTGGTTTTCGTTTTTCAGGTGGTGACTATTTATAGATGTGTGTAAGAAATGAAGTTGAGATATGCAGAGTAAAGTAGGTGTTTTGCAGTGTGTCGAAACTTTGTGGCGATTCTGGTTTATGCTCGGCTGTTTGACTGACTGACAAAGAGTTGAAGTGTTATCGCTAACAGCTTTAATTTGTAAGTAAATTGAAGGTTTGAGTAATCGTTTTGTTAGAACGAATCTAACTCATTGTTGTTCCCTCTACTTACTGTGTTACAACAAATGAATATATAATCGATAGCCAATTTTTTTTAGCACTTGTTTGCAGTTGTCTACAAATGCTGGTTTGATCTTGTCAATTTGCTGTGTTTTTTTTTCATGTAACGAGCTGTCTTTAGTTGCCTGATTGTGTTTTACTCCAAATGTGCCTAACTGGAGAACAATTTGCATGAAATGGATACGGTCTATACAAGCTTTTCTCGTTTAGTGGCTGTTTTGAAATACAAGAGTAAGATTTAAGCACCACAATTGTTTGTACTGGACATTGTGAGATGTTAAAACTGACGAAAAGCTGCCACGTAGAACTACGGTCTAGTGGTATTCCTCTTCATTTGTAAGTGAGGTATTAGGTTCGATTATCGCTAAAAGTGAATTTGAATCACATTGTTATGACTAGTCCATTGTGAGGTTTAGCTCACTCTCTCATCCCTTTAGATCTACTTCAATCCTTGGGGTAAAATTTAAATTTTAGGTTGTAAACTCATTCTAACTTGCTCCAACTCTTGGAGCAAATATGAGTTTTAACCCAAAATTCATTTGTGTAAATTTAGGCCAAGATTTCTCCTGGTTAGTGGGCTGGTTTATTATATATGTGTATATTTTTTTGTTTTATATTTATAAATTCATTGAATTCAACAGCGAAGATCTAATATGATCAAGTCTAATGGTTAAAAAAAAAAAAAAAAAAAAAAAATCTAACGATCCAAATTTAAATCAAACAGCTAAAGTAAATAAAAATAAAAAAAATTTCATGTGTTTCATATATTTTCATAGTGTTCCATGAGTTTTATGAATAATGTTTAGTGATTTTGCAATATTTATCAGAATATAAATATTTTTAAGTTAAAATCTTCATAAAATTAAATTAGAATACTCTATATTTGTTTTTGAAAAAAAGATTTCTTTAAGAAAAAAAATTATCCAAAATTCATTCTTAATAATTTTGGGTTATGTTGGAACAGAAAAACTATTTTTGAATTAAAACCTAAATTTTCTAAGTTAAAAAATTAAGTTTTAACATAAAAGTTGAAGATAATCTTAACGTGGGTGAATATTGTTTGTGCAAAAAATAAAAAACTGACGAAAAGATATTCCGAGACCCACTTGAACTTTTTTATTAATTTCTTTATTTCGACAAAAAATTAGATTAAAAAATACTTATGTGACTCGATAAATGGTAAGCCTGCTTTTAAATGGCTTGTAACATCTTGCTTATCGTTCAAGCTTGCGAAAACTGTACGATTGTTTTTTTCCCACAAATGGATCCCTCCTGGTTTTGGTCGTGCTCGCGAAAAGCTACAAAAAGAGAAGCACCGTCGGTGGAAGAGGAAGACTTGTACAAGCAGTGCACCCTCTAACCCTAACCCTAACCCTAATCACGTACAACGTCATGTGTGAGTCTTTAGAGTAACTGCAGCAGAGCCTGCTTTTGCATGCACTATTCCTACCGTCCAACATGTTCTCCTCACAAACCCTACAGAGGCTGTTTGGGGAACAGTTGAGAGGCGATCGGTGAAGATCGTCGCAGCAGTTGATCAATGTGACAGTGTTCCGAATACACACGTTGAAGGGAAACTGTTCATCAAGAGTCTCAGAACTTCTGAAGAGAAATCGGTAGAGCGACACGTGTCGTCATCTTGTACGTGATCATGTGGTTTTTATGAGCACCTAGGTAAATGCTGAGGCTCCTGTAGCTGAAGCCTTCAGCTGACTGGAACTCAAGAACTCTCCATTGTTGTTGCAGTAGAGTTTGTAACTTTGAGTCCCCCGCACGTGTCGTCTGTACCAAAAGGGCACGGAACTTCCATGTTGCCACGTTTAGGGCAAGCACCAAGAGCTGACACGTGGACTGTTTCGATGATGGTCGTAAGACTGATGAGCATGAACACAGAAAGTTTAAAAACCATATCTGAATGCAGCAGGGAGAGAGAGAGGATGCAAGACATGCTGAAAACTAAACGTCTATATTATTTTTAGGGTTTAGCATCAGAAGGATTAGTTTATTAATACGGAAATTTAAAAAATATATATATATGTACTTAGTTATGTGATTAACACGACTTAATTATGTGATTTACATGTTATAAAAGTCGACATATGTGAGTTAGACTAGTTGGTTAGCGTAATGTTTTTATTTTTAACAAATGATGATTATCAACAAAGGTGTGCCAACTGTTGTCAGTGCATTAAGAATTTGATGAAGAGATTAAGAAGTTACTTGAATATTCAAATCCTAAATACCAAAAGCACTGATACTGTTAAGTCTATGGGCTCCATGAGAGATTTTTCAATCTGTCTAGAATACGGGACATTACGTTATATGTTATTATACAAATAGAGGAAATTTTTTCTTTTTAAATGTCCCTACACTTGTATAACAACATTTACACTGAAAAATCTCTCCCATGATGGTGAAGCTAATTATCTGATTTCACCCATTGGAAAGGCAATAACAAGTGGCAACTAATTTGGAAAGGAAACAAACAAGTGGCAACTAATTTGGAAAGGAAACAACAAGTGGCAACTAATTTGGAAGGGAAACAAGAGAGAAAGCAAAGGTTAAGATCAGTCAGGTCAATCGATCTTCAAGGACCAACTAATTTTTTCCAATTTCACACCAATCCTACTTACATTTGAAGGACATTTGGGTTAAGATCAATGTCACACCAATCCTACTTACTTTCCAATTTCAAGAAGGTTTTTGGCCTCCTTTTCCCTTTGAGGGGCAGTGAGGCACCCATTTCCCATAGTGGCCTCCATAAAGCAACATATCCTTTGGGATCAAATCAAGCAAAGGACAAAGTTCCAAATGACATAGTTTAAGAACTGTGAGTTAAAAACATTAGGCCACGACTCCTACATTATTTATTTATAGTTTTCAAATAAATGAATAAAGTTGACAGAAATAAGCAAATTAATGTGCAGAAGAAGAAAAAGTGTGCGGAATCGTTCCTCTAAATACTTGGTTGTCGATGACCATGTTGTCTACTGGAAAATTGTATCTTATATTGTAAGGGACCAAGTCAATGATACGATCTTTATTTAAAAGAATAAATGGTTTATACCCGGACCCCGTAAACCATCCACAAACTACTTATGTTAATTACATTTTCAATGCAAACACTTGTGCAAGGAACTTTTGTTTAACAACATTTATCTCTAAACCTAAAATCGTTTAATTCTTCCACCTTTTGAATTGCTTGTATAAAGTATAACTATGGAGTTATGAGCAGAACAATGACGTGCAACGTATATAGAAAGCAAAGTGGTTTTTTCAATTTTTGAGTCCTACAGTAAAAACAATAAGGGACGGTTTATAAGTGCTTTTAAAATAACTTCAAGCACTTTCAATTTATTAAAAGCACTACTCACAATGTTTGGCTGAAAAAAAAAATGTGTTTTTTAGTTGCCAAAAGCACTTGAAGTGCTTTTTAGATAAGCATTTCGAAACAGGCCCCTAAAATAGTTGAGAGAACAGTAAATGACTTCATTTAGTGGGATTTAAGAACATAAATAGTTTTTACATAACGACCTCAATCGTTAAGCACGCTACGTTCTCCAAACGAGAGGAAAGGATAAATGGCTTCATTCACTGGAGTAAACTGAGTGATATATCAACACATTAGAAGAACAAAACTCCATCGATTTCTCTTTGCCGGGTTACAACCAGACTAGACTAGCAAATGTAACCCGTTTCCTACAAAAGTGGCTTGAGCTATGTTCCGTTTCCAAAGCGGAGTTTTCCCTGATGCGCTAATCAACTGTTCCGTTGGCTAAAGCAAATCTTCTCCTGCAAGTAACCAATGAGCGCATTGATCAAAATATAAATGTCAAACGATGGAATGGTATAACTCAAATGACTGCGGTGGTTGGTCTGAAAAACTTCAGCGGAGCACAGAAGTAACAATGATTACACGTAATGTTTGTATCCAACCGCAGTCTCAAAACGATAGCACAGGAGGAGATTACTATTTACCAGTTGGGCATGACATCAGTTTAAAAGTTAAATAAAGTAAAGGAACTTACGCAGATCATCCAACGATATACTGCTTATGCTTTCTCCAGTCTTTATAAGACGAAGCTTCCCTGATATCATATCACACTATTAGAAATTTCACAGTGCCATTATGGAAGGAGAACAGTTGAATTATATAGCATCTACATGAAATGAATATGTTTTCTATTTCTATACTTGATTTTTAAAGATTGGAGGGATGGGGTAGACCTTTCAAGTATCTATGGAATCAAACTAAATATTGAAGTTGAACCTTTCACTCTTATTTGCCATATCAGCACTTTCTGTCGATGCAGAACATGGTCAAAAATATAAATCCTCGTGGCCATGTTTATTCATCCGTCAATGAAAGCTTTAATTCAATGAATTTCAGTCATCGAGAATATTTTAATGTTAGATTGATATATCGTCCCAGGTTATCATTGCAACATAATGTTGGAATACATTTATAACTGATGCAAAAGTATACGAACGAACACAAGTTTATCCAAAAGAACTGCAGAAAAATGAAAACCAATCTAAAAAAATAAATTTAGTAAAGTAAAAGGAAAAGAAAATCCTGATATTTATACCATCATGACGAATGCATATCTCTGGAATATGTTTCACTTCACCATTGATGCTGTCATTGTAAACTCTAGTTTCAATGTCACCCTCGACATAGATTGATGCACTGCAGTAAACCTCCAATCATTAGAGACACAACATATAGAGACATTCATTCATTTGAAAAAAAAAAAAAAAAAAACTAATGAAAAAGACTTGAAAACTTTGAGTTTTAACGATAAAAACAAAATAAAGGGTAAAGTGAATAATACCAGGATTAACTTTTTAGTGTAAAAATGTGGTTTTTCGTTAAAGTGAACAGTACCGTGGGCTTTTTGTTAAAACTCCCTTTAAAAAAATAGACACATACTTCTTAACCAATTGTTTAACTGCATAAGCCCCAAGTGTTTCATTATGCACAGCAATTCGATGCCATTGAGCAGGTCTTGGTAAGTCCTTTGCTCCCATTACCCTTTGGTCAAACATGCCTCCTGTCCCAACCGTGAAGATGGTTACAGTTCGACCATTCCTCAAAATCTTTTGCACAGGGGCTTGCCCAACTTTTCCACAGATAATTGCCTACATAAATTCAGCACAGCCTCGCATAATCATATGAAAGAGAATATCCCTACTCAACTCTTGATTACTGATATAAAAACCAAAGAAAAAAAAAAAATACTATCTGATTATTTATGTTGTTTCTGTGTCCTAGCATCCACAATGAAATATCCTTTATTTTCTTCCAGACGACCTTAAAAACCTTTTACAAATTATGATATGATGCCTTGTATGTGTAAAATTGTAATTAAATCTATACACACGCACACGCACACATGAAAACTCGATAATATACACATAAGTAAAAGTTACGTTTTTGTTTTCTGTAGAAATTATATATGAAATACCTTGTGCACACCACGAAATCCCCAGCCCCTCCTGGGATCAACTCCTTGGGGTTGCAAATTCACATCTTTCTTCGCACCAATAAAGTCGTCAAAACCATCTTCTGCCCCATTGTTCTTTGTGTCATCATTGCCAATGTCAGAGTCAGATGGGATGCTTGAGCACCACAATTTTGAGCTTCTTTGCACACCCACTGCTGTAATAATGGTAAAAAAAAATTAAAAAAAACATAAACACCAAATAATCAACCTAAAAACACTCATTCTTCACTATTCGAGAAAATCGTTCACCAACAAAACATGTACTCACGATGAATTCCAGGCAACAAGTTATTCAAAATGATTTTCTGGATTAAACCCATCTCTGGAAACATACAAAAGTGAAAATAACACAGCCAATAAACCAACAAGATCATTAAATTGTGCAGAAACTTGCATTTGGGAAAAACAGTCCATTTAAAAGGGGTTTGAACACAACCCATTAACAAAAATAAAAATTTTAAGCAAGTACCAAATCAGAAATCAGAATTGAGCACTGCAAATAACACATTCAGGAATCATATGCACAAATACAAACTAATAATATTTTGGGGGAGAGAGAGAGAGAGAGAGAACCGAGTAAGGAGGTGGGCGAGGAAGGAACGGAGACTCGCATAAACTTGGCGAATCGCGCAGCGGCCGAACTCATAACTCAGTCAGTGCAGGAAACGCGAATTGGGAAGGAGCGTGGAGGGTTCAAGGAGGGTTTAGGTGTTAGGAGGCGAGTTCCACAGAGAGAGAGAAGCGAGCCAAATGAGCCTCCTTAATGAAATAAAAAATAAATAAAAAACTAATTTTGCTTTTGAAAATAAAATTGAAAACCAAGAGAGTTTGTAGTTCAAATAATTAAAAAAAAATTATGAAAAAGTTTAAAAATTTTAAGTTTTAACAATAACGAAAAAACAAAGGGTAATGCGAATAGTACCAAGATTGACTTTTTAGTGTAAAAATATAATTTTTACTAAAAGTTTTTCAAAGTTTTTTTTTAAAAAAAAACCTAAAGGGTAATGCGAATAGTACCAAAATTGATTTTTTAGTGTAAAAATATAATTTTTACTGAAAGTTTTTCAAAGTTTTTTTTAAAAAAAAACCCTATTTCATCGTCATAACTTTTTATTAAATAATTGGGCAATTTTTTATAGACACAGTAGCAAGCTAAAACTCGTCACAAAATTAGGTCTTTTTTGTTTTTTCGTACAAGTCATACTGACTGGGCAAAATCAAACTCAAAATGAAGAGTAAATGCTTTTAATCAATATATGAGATGCAAATAGTTTGCTAAAATCAATATATTCAAATTTACTAGTACATGTTGCCACTTAATATTATGGTCTAGTTGTATTCTTTTTTACTTGTAAGTGAGAGGTCTTAGGTCCAATTTTTGTCAAAGGCGAATTTGAATCACATTATTGCCAGCTCATTGTGAGGTTTAGCCCACTCCCTCATCCCCTTAGTGTAAATAATATCGTTTGTTAAAAAAAATAAAAAAATTTACCCTTTCAACTACCAAATTATGGAGAAAATTATTACTTTTTGGCTCCATTTGTAGTATGCAATGTATAACTTATCACATGGTTTTGTTTATAGGACATTTTTGAGAAATAAAAATAAATAGCTCGTTTGAAAATGCTTTTAAAATAACAAAAAACGTTTTTGATGATATTTTTAAAATCAATCTTTAGTAAAAATACAAGTGAATCTTAAAAAAGCACTTGAAGTCTTGAAGTTCCTACAACTGGTGCTTCTTACAGGAATAAGTGCTTTTGAAATCTAAAATCATTTACTTTATATGCAATTCAGTCATTTTAATAGCACCTTCAAACGTACTCCAAATTAAATATCTTCTCTCCTTTTTGGACATTCAGAAGATTGAAAAGTTGGCAACAAAGAAGCATTGGAAACCCACACCTCTGAGAAGCAAGCTTTGTAACAATCCAAACATGCACAGGGAGAACAAGAAGTTTGAACTTCAAGATTACAAGGAGCATTGGCGCGAGAAGAGACTCGTAAGATGGCAAATAAACAGGCGAAAAAGAATTTAACTAAACGCAAAGGTTATATCCGCTCTAGTATGTCTACTGCTGCAATTTAAATAACCCTTCGTAGTCCACCCGGAACACTCCCAGCTTGAACAAAATCAAAATGCCCCGGTATCAAGAAACGAGACCAAAACTCACATAATCAGCGGGTTGGACCCCTGGACGAAGACCACTTTGGGCCACCGCCACTAAATGCAGGTCTGCGCTCATCGCTGCCACTGCGCCACCTATCACTTGAAGGCGGTGGGCGGTCATCTGGAGCCTGCCCAGGGGCCTCAGCTCCCCTTTGCCGAAGGTGCCTGGGTACATATTTCCCAGGAGCAGGTGCAACAGCAGGAGGAGCACTAGCAGGCTCCGTACGTGGCTCAGCAGGCCTAAGAATCTCGGCTGGCCTCACCAAAAGTGCTTCTTTCCTCAGCCTTTCTTTTTCTTCTAATTCCCTCTCTCTTTGCCTCTGCTTTTCAGCTATCGCATCCAGTTTGGCCTTGTGCTCCGCTTGTTCTTTTCTTTTCCTCTCAGCTTCTGCATGGTTCAAGACAGCAATGATGGACGCACATCAGAAGGCAAAAATAACAAGACATAATAAGCACAAGAGCCATCGTAGAAAGTAAAATTACTCAACAATGTTTCCCTAATCAGCGAGAAACTAGAAGAACTGCAGAAATCAGAAAAAAGTTAACTAGTCAAAAGTCAGGGAGGACAGGTACCTTCACGCTTATGCGCCTCCTCCTCTTCACGAAGCTTCCTCAGTCTCTCTTCTTCAGACCGCACAAAGAATATCTTCTTTCTCTTGGCATCCCTCTCTTGCTTCCTGGCCCAAATCAGTTGGCTAATCTGTTCCTCTCTCTCTGCCCTCCTCCTCTCGTATTCTTCATGCCTACGATGCAAGACCCTTTCCTGGAAGATAGTCTGACAAAGAGGAAAAAAGCTCAGAATAATTTTGTTGATGGTAAAATTGATTATTGTGCATGCATATGTTATCTCTCTCCCCAAAAATAATAGCATGAACATTTTTTAGGGCAGTGTATATAATCTAGACGTATCCTTCTGTGTTCAAAATGAAGATCAGAAGTGTAACTCTTCTGAGCAATCCTCCACAGTTAGGCCAGATAAAAATGCAAACTCACCTTATTGTCCATCATCCGCGATAGCCTATTCTTCTCCTTCAGATCTCCTTCATGGCGCTGTTGGCTCAGCTCAACTTCCAGCTGCAAAGCAGAATGTTGAATTATGGTTAGCATACAAGGCAAAGAGAAAATAAAAATGAATTTAGGGAGAAAGAATAGGATGATAACGCAGCCATTAAATGGCCAAAATCAGCAGAAGTAAAAGGAAGAAACTGCAGGCCATGGCCAACATTGAGAAATGATGCAGTTTAAAGTGATAACTGATATTTACAAAACTGACAAGGGCATTATACGATGGATAAATTTAGTTGGTAAACTAAATACAAAATGTAACCATAATACATACTGTCTGTTCACGTTCATGAAGTAACTGCTCTTCAACTAAACGTTGTTGATATGCAGCTTCAATCAGAGGAGCAGACTCTTCTCTTTTTGCTCTTTCCAAGTAGTCCATTGTTTTTCCAAGTTTTAGTAACTTCTTCTCCATTTCTTGCCTCTCCCTGAGCTGTTCGCTCAGGGCCAAGTCCATTAAACTTTGCTTAGTCACCTTCCCCTGCACACAAATAATATATATAAAGATAGGGTCTTCCATCTAAACCATAACTAACGAGAAAACTTTCACTTACTCCATCCAAAATATGTTTCTTTCCTTTCTTTTTTTTGCGCGTTTCGTCAAGGAGCTTCTGTGCTTCGTCAATTTCTTTCTCCTCTATTTCCTTTCGGATCCTTTGATTCCTCCTTTGTTCTGCTTCTTCAGCAAGCCTCTTCTGTTCTGCTACTTCAGTTATTTTCTGTTGTTTGAGCCTCTTAGACTCTTCCTCACGTTCCTGAGAAATTGAAAGCTTAGTCTATGATTTTTCCATTTCCATACTATTAATAACTGCAACTCAAGGTAGATGTACGCAGAGACTTACCATTTCCAGAAGTTGACGTTCTTGTTCCTCCTTCCTTTTTTCGATGATTGATTTCCTAGCAAGAAGCCTTTTGTGTTCCTTATCAACAGTCTCAGCTAAAGAAGGCAGAATTTCAACTAGTTTTGACTCTCCCTTAACAGGAGGGAACATCATAGACCTAGCCTTATTTAGAGACTCGGCAAGGTTGGTTAGGTGATCTCGAAGCCCATCAGATTCTAGACCCTGACATGGTTAGTGAGAAGGCAGTCAGACTGTGACTTGTACGGCATGAAAAATGAGGCAAATGCAGAGTATGCAATCTCTAACTTACCAAGTTACCAAACAACATAACACCCTTCATATGGTCAACTTTCATAGCTACGAAGTTATGTTTAACAGCATCCACATAAATCTTCTCAACAACAGAAAAGTTGTAAAATGGGATCATCTGAGATAAACATTCAATCTTCATTATCTGATACACTTGGGATACCTGACAATTGAAGAGGGATAAATCAACAACAATGTTAAAAATTTATAAGAACACAGAGATACTACTACGAATCTTTTAAGATAACAAATATTCAACACACCTGATGGAGCAACCTCAAAGTACCAAGCTTTTCAAGGGCGGGAACATATTGAGAAAGTTGCACTTCTGGAACAGAAGATGCTGAGGACAGCTTACCTCCAAATTTCGAGATTTTGGTCAACAATGGTTGCATCTTTGTAGCAAGGTCAAGGGGTAGGAACTCATGCTCCAGGAGATGGTAAAGATCTTTAACTTCCTGGGTTGCACAGCTCAACACACCTTTTGAGACCTGAAAACAAAACCGAAATAAGACCATATTGATTGCAAACTTAACATAAAGACAATGTCATAATATGCACAATACATACACATTGACAAACATTTGAAAAGAAAATCTAATTTAGTACTAATAAGTAATAGCACATAAGGAAATTATGTCATAGCAAGATTTATATGACAAAATGAAAGCCAATTTTTTACTCAAAGTACCAATACCAAAAGATTAAAATCTCAACATGATACTCCATCGCAAAATTGTCATTGTATGAAAATCATAAAATATATCAGAGAAGCATTAGAAGCATTGCCCTTATTGCTAAGAGAAATTTTTGCTAATGTCCATCACAGGAAAAAGGAATTAAATCTCAATTGACTGTAAATAAAAATAACAAAACAAACTTACCAATTCCGAGAGAAGAGCTGATCTTGAAAGCTGCACACAAAACAAAGCGTTAGAATGACGAACTCATTAAAAATGGAATCATAAGAATAAAAAAAAAAAAAAAAAAAAAAAGAGAAAATGGCAATACCACATCTCCTCTGTCAATTCTGGGTTCAAGATTAAACCCGATGAGATTAGCCATTCTCAAATTGCGTTCTTTCTCATTTTCAAGTTCCAAATGTGATGTAGCACGTGTTTGGTCATAGGGTGCAACCGAAAGTGCAGCCAAGATGACAGATGATGCAATCAATTGCAAATCCTTCTGGCTTAAATTCTTGTTAAAGCTTTTTAGCAGTGTAAACAACTTGAACCATGCATAAGCATGATTAAGATGGCTAGCTGAAATCCACAAGATCTCTGTCAATTTGGCATAATAAACCACCATCAAGGATGCTTTGGGTGTTTTCTTGACCATGCACATCAAGCCATGAATATCTTCAACAGAACGAAATGCTTCCTGCAGACACATCGATTAAAAACCTATTGTAAGAAATAGACAGATATTACAAGCAGATACAAAGATTTTTCAATTTGTTCACAGAATCCACGCATAAATTAAAAAAAAAAAAAAAAAAAAAAAAAACAATTTAGACACCTGCCACAGTTCAAGCTCAGTGGCTATCTTCAGCTGCTCAAATCTTGTGTCCAAATACAGCTGCAAGCTCTCAGGTGCAGATAGGTCAGGTCGGTCTCTTTGATCTCTATATTTGTTCAGATTTGCCAGATGATTCCTGATGATTTCACATAACCTGCGAAACTCCGTCGTTCTCTTATACTGTTTGCAGAACTGGAAGGCTCGATGTGCAGTCATCTAAAGATTAAAAATCTCAATAAGACTCAATTTATTTCATGAAACACAAATCTTAATTAGTAACATCAATTGTACAATACTATTCAACACAAACCACAAAAATAAATAATGTTAAAAAAGAATGGCACCATTGTGTAGAAAGCTCGAAAAGAAATGGCAACCATTATCTTTTAACAAAACCTAGCTAACAAAATCCAGGTAGAAAGCAGCATTATAAAGTATATTCTTCCAACTCCACTGGGAGATGGCATGAGAAAAGGTCCCATAATGATCCTTTGCAAGAACTATGAAGTGTTAAACAAGTCGAAGTAAACATCAGGCAAAATTTTATCTACTGATTGATTGAATTCCTTTATTTTAGTCATTCGGAGCAAGAACAAGGCTTCTACAAAAATTTAGATAAATCTCCACCAGTTAAACTTGGAGAACACCTACTAATCCAGAAATGAGTATTTAATTGCTGAGTTGATTTTACTACTAGAACCTTGGAGAACATTAATATTCCATAACAGCATTTTTAGTTAAGAGTGGTTTTAACTGCTAGAATGCTTGTGGGCGAAATTTGTTAAAGGAACAGAACAACAAAAACAATGGAATCGAAAATTTGTTCCACAGAAATGCATTACCGCGTATAGAGCCTCCAACTTCGAGTTATTTCTCAAGATCTCTAGCACTGTCCTGTAAGTTTCCCATAGAAACTTGAACCAGGGAGTAACAACTTCACGGTCTGACCTATCTTTTCCTTTCTCACCACTGACATAGCTCAGCATCAGATCTTCTGGCCTTTTATCAGCTTCAAGGTCATCAACATCAAGTGCTTCTTCAAGGGCTTGGGCCTGAGTACGAGCCTGCTCGGCTTTCTCAGTAGATAGATGCATGAAATGCTTGATAACTTCTTCCAACGAACTAACATTAACTTGCTGGCATATAATACGATATTGGATAAGACCATCTTTGGCGAATCTACCCTTGCGCAAGTCAACACAAAGCTCTACATATTTAAACATGATCTTTTCAAGTGGTTTTTGCCAAGCTCTATATCTCTTTGAAGTGATAAGATCATGAAGCGATTGTAATGCATCTTGCTTCTGCCCAACATTGATCAACTCTGCATCCACACATTATAATTGTCAGCATAGATATATAGGGTAATGCTGAGACCAGAATTTCTATTGTCTGTCAAGCAATTGACATCAACATTTGAACCAATTTTATTCTTTTTACCTAATTACTAGAATGCAATGATACAAAAAGATACTAACGCAAAAGGGTTAGGGTAAAATTTGAAACCAAGCAATCAACTTATAAAACTAAAGAACTATGCATTCATATTTCACCTTCGGCTCGCTTCAATGCATTCTCCGGTTTCGCAAAATTCGCCATGTTGAATTTAAAACTCCTGCCGCTTCACACAGCGCAAGTGTCACCTGAACCACAAAATTTCCATCTCGTCAAAATTGAACTCGGCTAACGAATCATCTAAATCCAATCAGTCTGCCTAAACCACTAATCAATCACAAAATTAGAAAACATATGCAGATAAAGTGTCAACTTTCGGGGCACACTATAACGTTTTTAATTCCATTACAAAAATCACAGTACACGGGGCTCGAAAAAACTCCGAAATCAAATCACGTAATCATGAAACCGGGAAACATTATGCATCTATCAGCAAATAATCATACAAAACTATACAAAAAAAAATCGGCAACTCAGAATCGTTTCTGGGGATAAATTTTGTGACTTTTCACGAATCCAAGATCCGCGAGATAAATGGGGTCCAATATTTCATGAAATTAAATTAAAAAACCCAATCTTTTTCAGGGGTTCATCGTGAAATTTATTAATCAACAAGAAAAAGGGAGAATATTTGGCAGATTTGATTGCTACCGGCTGCAGCTACGAACAGAAGCAGGTTTCTGTTTGGAATTGAAGTCGGATACAGAGATAGAGAGATGGAGAGATTGAGAGATTGAGAGTGAGAGAGAACGTACCAGAAGTGGCCGCAATTGTATGCACGGGGAGAGGAGCGAGAGAGAGGGCGAGAGGGTAGGGTTTTAGGTTTGCCGATGTCCAATTGGAGATTGGTTCAGTCCGATTGGGCTCTTTGTGGATATGGTGGGCTAAGTGAATGCTGGGTGGCTGACTTTTATCGTAGGGTCGCAGAGTTCGTGCTATTATTATATTGGGCTGGGCTTTCGTACAAACCGACCCGGTATTCCTCTTGGAGTTTGGATTTTTAAAGGATTAACTTCCCTATTTGAAAGTGCTTTTAAAATATGTAATTGCATTTTAGAACAGGCAAGTACAAGTGCTTTATAAATAAGAATTCTTGACATCTTTTTTCAGGAAAAAATAAATAAATAAAATTTAAGAGCATGTTTACCAATTTAGAATCGGAATAAGCAGAAATCAAAGTAAGCATAAATCTGGTTAAGCAGGAAACGAAGCAAGCATGAATCTAAATCAAAATAAATTTGATTACCAAAGAGCCGTTGTATAGAACTATTCTAATATCAAAACAAGCATCTGGAAGTGAGGAAGAACTTAAAAAAATTAAGCACTTCCAATAAAATAATTAAGAGTAACGGTGTTTTTAGAAAAAGCAATTTCAATTGAGTTGCAAAGTAATCATGTGTCCAATTTACTAGGTCGGATAAGCTTTATTTTTCTTGTGCGTGTATCGTGTTTCATGTGGATTTCGGATCAATTATTCGAGCGATATGATTCGAATGTTGATGTCCGAGTCTTTACCTTACTATACATATCGTAACGTTGGTTTAGTCAAACAATTTCTTATGATTGTATTTTTCTTGAACAATGTACTCAAATGTTGAAAGTGATATCTTCTATTATTTAGGCAATAGAGCGATCACCTTTCTTCTATCATATGTGTGTATAGCATTTGGTCCGACAAATGAGGTGTACATATCATGTTAATTAAGTGAATATATCTCATTTCCCAAGAGAAAAAAATGTGATACGTGACGAAACCATTTGGTCGTTCCTTTCTTGACTTTTCGTCCGAATGGTTTTCTGCGACCAAAGTTCGTCGCCTTATCGTTTACGGAAAGTCAAGGCCGACGGAGTTTATTATCTGGTGGCCATTGATTAGATTTTGGTCGCCCATACAAGGATTTGGTCGGGGATTCCTTTCCAGTATTGCGCCAAAACACGTATGTAGGGTTTGGGTGTCGGAATTTTAGAAAGCGGAAGACAGAAGAAAGAGACGGGGCGCGTCAGAGAGAAGAGCACTGAACTAACCTTACGGCGGAGGGATCGATGGAGATGACGGCGTTTGAAGGTGGTGGAAGGAGAGAGAAGTGCTCTCTTCTGCTCTCACATTTTCTCAACTGCTCTCACCCACGTCTCCCAACTTCTCTCCCTTTTCATATCCACTTTCTTTTGATTCAAACCTATCTTCTCGGAGGCCACCAATAATGCTGCATTTAAATAAATGGAGAAAGCGTGAAACGAACACACAAGAAGTTGCTGCTCAAAACCATGCAGAAAATAATCCCACAAAACCGACACCCGTTTTCATACTTTACTAGGATCTCCATTCCCCAGCCAAAAATAAGGATCAAGGTCCCCAACCCCAAGTTGCTGCTCAAAACCATGCCGAAACGCCTTCACTATGGATGCAAAATGAACAACGCTGATGGAGATAATGAGCAGCAACAGCAGTGCTGCACGAAAACGAGGACGGAGAAAACAAGGACGAAGCCCGGAAAGCTTCTGACAACGAAAATCCGTTCGGTGTTTGTCAATGCGTTCAGCAGCATGAGGATCAAGTCAACAGATGGCGGAAACTTGACGAAAAGCGAAACCAAGAGTGACAGAGTGGTTGGGGAACATGGAAGTTCCGGCAACTTGAATGGGGATCCATCGAAGTTAATGGTAACTGACGGCTGGAAGTCGAGAGCGGGAAGGAACCTGGGGAACATGTTAAGAAGGGAGTTCGATGAGGAAGATAATTCGAAGCAAGGAGAAAGAGAAGGGGAGGAGTTGTGCAAGAAGAGGATTCTAATGGGAGGCAAGTGCAAGCCACTGAGTTTATCAGAAACTCTCGAGTACGATCAAGATGGCATTTGGTAAGCTGAGATCATACCAAGATATTCTGTTTGTGAATACTTTATTTTTAAATTCCTTGTGTTTTTGTTAGATGGTTGAATTTACCATATTTCTCTAGTTTTCGACGTACATGCAACCAAGATGCCAAGGTGGCAGAATCCCAAACCAATCACACGATCCAGGTGCGATAGGCTAGAAATACTGCCACCTTAGATTCCCGGTTGCACGTCCGTTCTTCTCATCATGAGGGCAGTTGATTCTCGGAAAAGATAACTCGAACAAAACATGTATTAATCGTTTAATCAATCTCTCTATACGAACTTTGGTGCTACTTAATGGATGTACAACAGATACTGAAAGCACTGACAGCAGAAAGTCTACATTGTAAAAAGACAGTTCAGACACATTGACATGAACTAGTCACCAGGATTATCACTACTTCAGGGGTTTCAACCCAAGAGATGCTCGGAGTCTGTTTGCTTCAGCAATCTCTGGATCCGGATGGTCTGTGCCATCATCCTTCTTCTCCTTCTTCTTTTCTTTCTTCTTCTTCGGTTCCTCACGATCAGGTCTCCTGGGACTAATGCTGCGGGCATGTCTCCTGCGATCTCTATCCCCACCATCACGATCTCTACTACGACTTCTGCTCCTTGAATGGCTCCTCCTCCTGCCACGATCCCTCCCTCGCCTGTCCCTATCCCTATCCCTATCCCTATCCCTATCCCTATCACGACCATAATCCTTTTCGTCTCTTAGCCGATAATGGTCTCGATCCCTATCCCTGTCTCTGTCCCTCTCTCTTTCACGTCCACGTTCCCTGTCATAATCTCTATCCCTATCATAATCTCTGTCATAATCTCGGTCCCTATTTTAAGGGGGGAGAAAGAAACAGAAATGACAGTGTTAGCTTAAAAATGATAGTTCCAATCCTTTAACAAGGGAAAGGATAGCACAAAAAGCATTTACAAATGAAAGGACAGCACTAAAATGAAATTAAACAGAGGTGCCAAAAATGAGCGACCATGGCTTTCAAATAACCACATCATGGAAATAATTCCGAAAGAACTTATGATTCTCAAAATTTTCCGCCTGAATCATGATCAAATCACAGCTATAACACAGTAAATTATACTCTAATGCAAAATAAGGAAAAAGACACAGCAGACCAGGAAACCACATTTATCCTGCAAGCAAAATGTATGATCCATCATACTTCTCACTGCACACTGTCAGTGCAGAGAAACCTGGCAGGATCACTGATATCACTATAGGAAGCCATTATATTACACCTACGGCCTAAAATGCCATGGTAGAAACCTCAATTACATATGAATGTACTAGACTGTATTTTTATAGTCAGGCAACAACTTCCACTTCATAAATAATAAACTCATGAGGTAAAACAAGTCTAATAATTCTCACAAACATAAAATCAGTTTTGACTCTCATTTACGAAACAAATATAAAATCAGTTTCAACCTCTTTTAAGTGTTTTCTTATGCCTCACCTCTTACTTCTTGTGTTCTATTTTCACCAAAACTTCACTTTACCCCATATGGGTTAAAAGCTAAAAAATCCTAAAACCATCTCCATTCACATATAATAGCACAAAGAATAAGAACCTAACGAATGTAACATACTTAAAGATATCAATAAATCTAACATTCTCATAAACCACAAACAGGAAAACGAACCTGTATCTGTGACTGTCGCATCTTCTATCCCTATCTCTTTCCCTGGCAGGGCTTCGACCACGATAATAATCCCTATCATGGACATCTTCATCCATTACATCAACTTGATCATTCTCTTCTTTCTCTTCCTCCTCCTCAAAGTCCTCTTCCAAAGCACTTTTCCTGAGTTCCAATGAACCGGTTGCTTCGAGAGTCCATCTGTATATATAGAAAGGAATCACATATACAAACCTAAAGTTCAAAGTCAACTTGAAAATTGGTTGATTACAACTGTCTACAGCTAAAAAACAGGAAAAGAAAGAGACCACCATGATAAAATCAACTTGAAAAATTGTTCCAATAAACAAACCTTTTTTTAATTCGTGGCATTGCAATGTCACATGAGTAATCTTTTGTGAGAAGTTCATCAATAACCTCATCCACATGCGTCAAGGTAAAATCTGATACAGCAAGAGATTAGCCATACTTGTGTTAGCATATGCTCATAAATATTCCGTAATAAGTATGGTAGCATAGACTAGTCACAAATAAGTAATCAATGAAAATTTCAGAGATAGATCTTATATCTTACTCCCATCAGGCAGTTTCCTCCTCAACTTCCGATAGTCATTGTACAAAGGCTCTAGGTACTGGTATGCATCAGTATCAGTTCCCGTAAGCCGCAAATAAAATGCACCAAGTATCCGAACGTACCTAAACCCAAATAAACAAAGTTAAATCACATTAGAGAGAAGAACTCAAAATGTTCCACGCCCACATGAAACCTGAAAAATAAATAGAGGTATTCAGCATTAAGAATCATAAAGGCTACAGCTTGGGACATAACACTACAAAAACAATCTCCACCATAATACACAAACTTGCACTGTTATCTAAACCCTTTCTGTTTAAACCTTCCTAAACCAAAATTCAGAAGAAAAACTCTCTCTTTATACCATAAAAACTAGAAGACCTGATTACTTCCCGCCTTCTTTATTTACCTTCACCTAACACAACAGAGAATATTATCTCTCTCCTACATCTTTTACATAAAAAAACTAAGGTTATTCCTTTCATACTACAATCTAATCAACCCAAACCACCAAACTTATCCGATTTCAGTTAATTTTATCTGATATTATATTAATCAAACAAAAACCGGTAAAAATAAAAAAAGGGTTGATATCTGCATCCAAAAGAAAACAATGTCGAAATCGGGTTTATCATAAAAAGACCACAATTTCCAAATTCCCAGCCCCCTTTAACTCTAACTCTCCCAGCTACTAGAACATTCACATTGCCAATCATATAAGCCCATCCAAACAAAATTACAACAATTCTAATGAGCAATTAATTAATGAGACAGTGAAACGCACTTGTAATCGTCGTTTTTGATGAACTCGATAACGATCTCCTTCTCCGGCTGGATCTGAAGCATCTTCATCACGAGGCACATGAAAGGCGTGGGCTTGCGGTTGCCCCCGAAGGTGCCGCCGATGTGGTCGAGCTCCATGGCTTTGTCGACTAGGGTTTCGGCCGTCAACCCGAAGCACTGCTCCTTCCAGTACGTGTTCTGGTATATCTTCGTCCGTACGATCTTCTCCACCAGATTCTGGGGGTTCGTTCCCCTTATATTCTTCGCCGACGGGTCCGTGCGGTTCGCCATCGCTGGAAGGCGTAGAGAAGTGGACGAAACTCTGGATTTGGGGGGCGCAGAGAGAGGGACAGATAAACCCTAACCCTAAAATCAGAGCGAAAGAGAGAAATATAGTTGCCGTTGGGGAGTTGGACGGTGCGTTTTTGGGCTGTAATCCGAATTGTCCCCGCCAGGGTCAAAACGGAGTGTCGTATTTATAATAATTTGCAAATATCGTTTGTGTCAACTCTTGGTTTTAAATCTTGTTTTGATCTGTCGTTGAGTAGTACGATCTGATGATATTTATCTTTATTTAGAAGTGAGAGGTTTTAGGTTCGAATCACGTAGATGATGAATTTGATACCAAATTAGGCTACTCATTGTGTGGTTTAGTCGAACTCTCTCTCCCTTAGTGTAAAAATATCGATGTACTAAAAAAAAAAAAAAAAATTCTTGTTTTGATGTTTTTAAAATGGGTTTTGTGTTAACCTTGGGTGTATTTGGGGCGTATTATTCAGCTTGCAGCTTGCTTGAAATAAAGGATTGTGCGTCTTTTGGTGAAATCTAATTCTATTTTCATTGTTCATATGATTATGGAAGGTGAGTGACGATCATACTCTTGGTGAATTGGTACAGGCTTGTCGTGAGCTGCTAGACAGAGATTGGAATTGTGATCTCCATCGAGTTTATTGTAAGATAAATTTTGTGATTGATGAATTGGCTAACTTTGAGTTTGTCGCATTCTCTTAGTCTAGTTTATTTTGATAAAGCTCTTGGCTCCTGACGACATCTCCTAGTATCAGACGCTGTTGTAATCTCTAAACCTCATGATGTTTTGCTTTAGTTTCTCTTTGTTAGACATTTAGCCCCGTTGTTTCTCACAGCAAAGATATTTTAAATTCAAAATGAGATTTTGGTAATCAAAACTTCTAATCACGACCGAATCTGATAACACCTTAATAAACAAACATCAGATAAATACACATTCGATCATCTTTCTTTGGCCTATATCGAGCTGATTAGCTGCCTACACCTAAATGCTACACCAAATGTCTTAAGTTCTATGCTAGTAAATTACAGCCGAGGACTTGTGCCAAGAACTCGAAACTACTCTCGTCTTTGCATTTGATCGAGCGCGTGGTTGCTGGTGGTAGACGACGATGTTCTTCCATTAGGTATTCCGTTATCGACAGGCGGAGACGAACCCCACTTCCCTTCTGATTCTTTGGGTTCAATAACTTTAACAGAACCATCACCCAACCCAACAGCAAACTGGGTTGGTTCTTGTGGATGTACTGCAACGACAAGCGGGTACATGGCTTGGCCTCTACAACGTAGAGCACCTCACGATTAATTAATGACGACTGGTTTAAGAAAAAATAATAACCTTGAAAGTTCGTGGTGAGTTTTCGATAGCTTACCCGTTCAAGTCCGCTTGGGGTAAGTACGCTGATGGAGCAATACGGCATCTCAGTCTTAGGCTATCGGCGTCAAACACCCCAATGTTACCGTCATAAAAGGCAGCATATATTAGTTGGCTGTTGCAGGAGTATGCTGCATGAGATATTGGCGCAGGAAGTGCATCTTGTGGAAGCCACTGAAATGGAAGGACAAATTCACAGTTATAAGCAAATCTGTAATCTGCCCTTTTTATGTCAAAACATTCGAGCTAACTTTCTACCTGTCGTATGCGATCCATCTTCGAGGCATCATATATTGCTAGTTGTGTCTCGTGAACCACCAGCAAACGAATTTGATCGGAATGGAACTGCACACGAGTCTCACCAACAGTTGCCTTCGCAGAAACCATATGAATTGCAACCGACTTCCTCTTCTCCCACGTATCAATGCTCCACACACACAGCTGCACGTTGTAGGTAAAAAGTATAAATTTGGAAAAGACAAAGCCATCAAGCATGGAAATGGGTCGATCGGCCTTTTATCAAAGTTGGCAAATAAGATACCAATTCATTTGGCAATGGTATAAAATGAAACACGCGTGTACTTTTTACACACGTCCGCTTCAGTATTTTCATTTCAAATATGACATTTATAACAGTTTGCATAACAAAAATTCCCCGTGGTTAATATGAACGTGATAAACAAGAACAAAAGAGCCAAGGATTTTACTTACATGAGCATCAGCACCGGACGAAACGAGTATATTAAGATTGGTTGAGAAAGCTAAACCAGTTATCCGCTTTTGGTGACCCTTCAATTTTGATTTTACCTAAAATCAACAGATAAATCATGTAGGCCTTCAGCAATGCCACATACAAAATACAAATCTTTGAGGCGAGAAAGAGAATACGACCAATACGTAAAAATGGAAGCAATTACCTCATCAACTCGAACATTATAAATGTGGATGGTAGAATCCTCCATTCCGATGGCCAGGATGTTATTATCCTGAGGATGGAATGCTAGGAAGGTGGAAGCAGGAGGAGTTGCCATGAATGTTGTCATCACCTACAATTCAAACAACACGAAGAACAATAAAAAAAAGAAACCCAATTTTCAGAAAATTAGCTAGACATGCACGTACAGATTTACCTTGAATGTCATCATGTTGAATAACGAGACCTTTCCGCCGCAAGCTGACGTTACATAAGAGTCATTCTTTGAGAGCGCTATGCATGGAATTGCTTCTTCCAGGTTGACGCCTGAGACATCGTTGGCCATAAGAAGACCACTGTTTGGTTGCCAATGCAGCGGAGCAACACTGGCTGTGGCCTTTAAACACACATACTTCAGAAGATTGCATTTACGAGAAAAAACAGATGATTGAACTTTTTCTAGGTTAGGTGTTACCTTTCCACTTGGATTTTGTTCATTACGGCCCCACTTCCACAGCTTCTGCACACCATTTGACCCAAGTGCCAATATGCCAGCACCCGAATTTGTATATAGGAGTCGGACGACCTAAGTTTAAATGCACTGGTTTAAGGATTTCGTAGCAGAAAATATCTCGACAGAATATCACGAGCTTGAAGTACATAACATAACATAACATAACAGACCTTGCTAGAAGTATCGGTTGATTCAGGCATGGTAACTTGCTGGCACTGTATAGGATCCTGAATTTCAGTCAACAGCCAGGGTTTCGGTTTATCCACTGCATCCTCTACGCTTCGTTGTTTGTCAAAACTTCTACTGAGGTGATCAACTCCAAGCTTGAAAGACGGCCAAAGTAATCAAATAAACGCAACGCCACTTTGGAAAAACATTTTTTAAAAGAAAAAGAAGATATTTACAAAAGATCGACTGACATACAATAATTGGAGTAGACCTAGCAGGAGAGCTCCTTTCCAGTTTACAATTGACCGCATTAACATTTGTAACGGAAGCCGAGCCAGATGCCTGAGACAAATAAAAAGGTTCTCAAAGTTGTAAATAAAGAAAAAATTGGTAACGAATTCACAAAGAGAAGCCTAAATAAATGATCGAAACCTTGATAGCAGTAGATTCAACGGGAGGCCTTAATCCCTCAAAATATGCAGTGGACTCGATAGCTTTCAAAGATTTAACCCCAGCAGCATTTACAAGTATTTTAAATCCGTTGTCCGCAGTTGTGACAGCAAGAAGATTTCCTTCCTTGTTGAATCTCAAGCGAGGGAGGTTCTGAAACATATAATATGATAACATCATGCCTTCATTCGACAACCAGGGGAGTATAAGTGATAAACTAAAATTACAACAACATACTGACCGGAATTCCACCCTCCGCGTCTATGCTAGTCAAAACATTGTTATTGTCCATATCCCAAAACTTGATCTGGTTATCTTCGCCCACAGCCAAAAAATGATTCTGTGTTGTGTCGAACTGCACAACGCCTGCTGATTTCTTTCTGAGTCCAGAATATGCTCTCTTTATTGCTCCTTCACTTTCATTCCATTCGACTAGGTACGAGTCTCCCTCTTTACTTGTTCCACAAGAGAACAATCTGAAAGATAATTGGACATAATGGAACTTACATAAGTTTTGATAAGACATTTCAACTTGACGTCATAACTCTTACGTAGGGTCCATCTTTTAAAATTTTACATACCGACTTCCATCTGCACTGTAAAGCATTGTGGTACACGAATGGCCAGGAGCATCATAGTCAACTCTTGAACCCAAGTTGTCATACAGCCAGGCCTTTATTTTCCCATCAGTAGCAGTTGAAAATATGAACTGAAAATTCAAGCGTACACCAATTACTGTACGTGGTAATGAACAGAAGACAAGGTAGCAAGGTAGTTGATCATACGCTTCAAAATAAGTTTCAAAAAGATCCCCTCAACCAATAAATCAAAGTAATTAGTTGTTTCAGATAACCAAAATCCAGAAAAAATGTGTTCTGTAATTCCCAAATAGTTGCTTCAAAATTCTAACATTTCGGTAAATCAGCAAAATCATACGAATTTAAGCTAGCTTAATCGAAAACATTTGCTTCCCAAAAACTAGAAAGAAATTGATTAAGCACACGAAGGCATTTCCTGTTTCGCAAACATACCTGAATGTTCTCCTTGTAATGAGGACAGATCGAATAGACGGGAGCAACATGACCTTCAAAGTTATATAGCTTTCGTCCAGTTAAATCCCATACCTGTTTCACTTGATTTAGATGAAGGGGAAACTTTGTATACAAAACGAATCTTACAATGAGAATTCTAATTCTACCTTTATTATCTTGTCGTCTCCACAGGTCACAACACACAGTTGTTTATTTGGATGAGCAAAAGCTAAGTCGTTCACAGCACCGCTATGGGCATCAACCTGTGAAAAATAAGATGCAATTTCATCAGCTGTTACAAATTTAACCTTCTTGATCAATTTAAAAAAAAAAAATTGTAAAATGATCACACCTCCAAATGTTGGCGTAGATCATTAGGTGCAGTATAAGCATACAGGTGAATCAAATGTTTGGTAAATGCAACCCCTGCGGCAAGAAAAACGATAAGATACACAGAACAAAAATTCAAGAAACATTTTCAATCTTCGAAATGTACATACCCACGAAACTCCCATCTGGACTCCATGTAACACAGCTGACAGATATGGGTGTGTCTTTTGTAATTGTGGCCTGCATTAAAACTTAACCGTTACTATAACTGCATTTCAAATCCCCAAAACACTATACTTCCGTAAAATTACTTTATTTAACAACAGACGATAAAAATATCATACCAAGCAAAATTT